TGTTGACTATAGAGCACTTAAGATGTGTCTGACAAGATTAATTAAACAGCACTCTAAACATTCACATGATGAGAACAAAGGAGGATATTCTTAGGAGAGGAATGCAAGGGCTCAATAATTATGAGCCTAAGATCATACAAAATGATGCTTATCGAAATGAACTCCAAGAAATGGAAGAGGTGGGGCTGGGAAGGTGGCTCAGTGTACAGTGCTTGCCTTTCATGCATGAGGCCCTGGGTTCGATTCCTCAGTACCACATAGGCAGAAAAAGCCAGAAGTGGTGCTGTGGTGGCGCAAGTGGTAGAGCGCTAGCCTTGAGCTAAAGAGCTGAGGGACAGCGCCTAGGCCCAGAGTTCAGGCCCCATGACTGGCAAAAAAAAAAAAAAAAAAAAAAAAGAAGCTCAGGGACAGTGCCCAGGCCCTGAGTTCAAGCACCAGGATTGGCAAAAAAAAAAAAAAAAAAGAAAAAAAAGAAAAAAAAGAAATGGAAGAGGTTTATTATTATACTGTTTGCGGTTCTTCTTTCTTTGATTTAGTCCCTTCTGTTGCTGTTTTTGATTTCTGTTCCCTTTGTCTTGTATATAAGTTTACCTGACTTGTGGAGGGGAAGAGGAGGCACAGAAATGGTGGGACAAAAGGTGAACCAATGCAGCAGTGACACCCACTAGACACTATGTTGGAAAGGAACTATACAACGTTGGGTGTGGGGGGGGGTCAGGAGGGAAAAACTGGGAGAGAGTAAGGGAGGGGGTGACACTGTTCAAAAGGAAATGTACTCATTACCTGACTCATGTAACTGTAACGTCTCTGTAATAACCTTTATAATAAAAAAAATGTGTCTGAGTTGAGATGTGATGGAAGGGTAAAACACCATATTGTGAAGATTTGCGAAAAATAAAACTAGAAGATCTCAGTAATTTTGATGTTGATACATGTTGAAATGATAACATTTTGGATACATCAAATTAGTATATAATTAAAACTAGTATGGAAGCTGGGCACTAGTGGCTCATGCTTCTAATTCTAGCTACTCAAGAAGGTGAGATCAGAGGAGTGTGGTTCAGAGCTAGTTCTGGCAGGAAATTCCATGTGATTTTATCTTCAATGAACCACCAAAGATCCAGAAGTAGAGCTGTGGCTCAAGTGGTAGAGCACTAGCTTTGAAAGAAAAAGCTCAGGCCTTGAGTTTACTTCCAGAACCAGCATCAAAAAAATAAAATAAAATAAAAATTCCCCAAACCCCAAACCTGTGGCTCTTTTACTTTTTAAATATACTAGTAGAAGCTTTAAAAATGCCTATGTGGCTTGTACTTGTGGTTTGTCTTCTGTTTCTGCTGAACTGTCGTCTGGACCAGCTACCAGAGTACTTCTCAAGCTATTTCCCATTGGAGTCACAGAGGGGGCTCATCAACTTCCTTGAGCAGGCTGCATAACAGTCCCATTAAATTGGAAATCTCTCCAGAAATCCTGGACATTCCAACATGCAGTTGAGGTTGAAAGTCCTTGGAGCAGAGACCTGCAGGAGGGTTAATCGTTCAAAGAGCATTTCTGGTTCAAGGATCATTATGCGGAGGTATGCTAACTCTCTTTTGCAAAGCACAGAAATAGCTTCTGGTTTGGGCTTTTCTCCATGGATGTATACTTCCATCCAACCCATAGAATGTGGCTGAGGCTAGGGATGGGCAAAGGGACAGAACTGCTGCTATCAAGAGCCAAGAGATCTCCACGTTTTGAGGTCAAGGAGCTGGACCATTGTTCTCTGGGTGCTCCTGTGCTTTGGTCAGATCAGCTCATCCCTGGTAGTCACTGCCATCAAACACAACAGAACAAAAAGAGACAATGGGCACAAGCGCCTAACCATTCAATCTGAGTATGTGGATAAGCCAAAGCACTTCTAAGGGGCTCCCAGAGGAGGTGTTTGGGAGGCATCCATCAGTAGCCTTATTCACCTGCACAAATTCTCTTACAGGCTTCCTAAATACCTGTTTTCTCTGGATTGGGCCCGAGAGGCTAAAGTCTAATGTATTTATGTTGAGTTTTGAGGTACTGCCTGACAAATTGCTTGTTGTTAGAGCAACATAAAATGTTTTGGTGGCTGCCTGTGTTCCTCTATGCAACAAGGACACGAGGAGGTGTACCCCACCTTGGTGATGCAGATTGCTCACATCTGGCATCAGCAGTACCTACACCACTGGAGCGCATTTCACAGAAATTTGATGTTAAGTTATTAAAGCACCATAGGATCTTACATTTAAACATTTCTTCTAAACTGCATGCTACCCCTCTGGCTTCACCGCACATACTAAGCAGTAATTCATATTTTTTAAGAGGAAAAGTTCTTGCATATTTATTATGGGCCATGAGACATCCCAAACTGAAAAGACTAAAAAATATCTGCATAAGGTTTCTCTGGCCAGCTCATGCCTCCATTTCTGCTTCCTGTCCTCTTCTCCTCCTTTCCACAAGTGCTAACTCGTGCACCCTGTCTTGAAGGAGCTTTGAGGTTAATAGAGGGGAAAAGACACTGTGTTAACTATTTGTGATGCTATGGCTAAATATGCACTGGGTAATATATAGACACTAGAAATTTCATACTATTCTGGAGGCCAGGAAGCTGGAGATTAAGAGGTTTGAACATCTTATCACAGGCAGGGAACAGGCCCTCTGTAGGGAGGTTGTTCAGAGCCACGAGCTATTCAGTCAACCTTGGACATGCAGCTACTGGGCTTGACTTTTTTCTAGAGGCTCTGTTTGTTAATGTGGACAGCAGGTGTTGGAGTCAGAAGGGCCAGTATGGAGGGTCAGGGGAAGCCTGGGTGGTGGTAAAATCTCCTTGATCCTAAATGTCATATGCCACAAAGACATCAGGACTGAAAGACTTAGGGCCACATATTTATGATTGCTTTTTTTGATAGCTCCAGTTACAGAGTCCAGGTCTGCATAAGGAACTATTAATTGGTACCCAATAAATATTCGTTTTCTTCTTTATTATGAAAACAAGTCTGATTTTACTTGTGACATTAATTTGCCCAACTTTTAAAGAAGTATAAAACTGACTAGAGCTGGGTGGAAAGCAGAGTGAGATGCTACTAAATCCAAAGAATTTGTAACTGAAACACTGCTAAAGTATAAATGCTCTGAGCAAAGGAAATGCCTAGAGCCACGGCTAGGAAGGAGAAGCACGTGTTTGGTTCAGTAGAACTGAGGGGACCAGCAAGGCCACTGTTTGCTCTCAGAAAACCGGGTCTCAGTCCTCAGCTGACCACAGTTTAGCAGCTTTACTGGGGCTGCACACTGTAGAGCTGGTAGAAGGACAGATTTAGATCTCACCCTAACAACAGATGGAGAGTCTTCCCTCTTCACCCTACTTAGCTGAGGCCCAGGATGAAGTGGGGCCAGGTTGGGTATAGATTCCCATCCAGGAAATGTCACGCTCCGGATAGTGTGCATCTTTCTTTAGACAAAAAATATAATTTCATAGCCAATTCCATCCATTCCACTTCACCAAAGAGTAAGAAGCCCAAAGATAAAGAGTCTAGAGACTAGAGATCTGCCTTCCAGACATGACCTCCATAAAAAAGCTGATCTAGTAGTGGCACTTGCCTGTGGCAAAGAGGAAAAGGGAAATCTCTTCGGCTGGCATTTCAGCTTGCCTAAGGGGACCTGTTTTGCTCCAAGGGCAGGGGCTGCGTTGACCTTAAAATCAGGGCCTCAGCAAGCAGCAGACGAAGGAATTTAATTTTCTTCCTAAAGGCTTTGATCCTTTTCACATAAAAAATGGAAAGACTCAGTACTTTCCTCTGAAGCTTCTTCACAAGGTGGTGGAGTTTTAGACTGAGACCTGGAGATGGGGGAGGATGTTCCCTAAATAGCAGTGCCCCCGAAAGGCTATTTGGTCCTTTACAGCATTAGGGTTTTCTTACCTCCTCCTCCCTCGTCTCCGTTATTTCGCCTATTCTCTAAAGTGCACACAGCGGGTTATTCCTCAAGTTCCGCTAGCGCATCTTTCCTGATTCCAACCCCCTTTTTACCCCACAATACCAAGCACTTCACTTATTGGTCAGCAGCTGTTTCCCCTGCCTGGTGACCAGCCGGGACAAGCCGAAGAGAGAGGGAACGTCTTCGGTCACAAGGTGGCGCGCGCGAGCCTCCCAAAGCCCGGCGGTCCCCAGCCCCGCACCTGCTCCGGGCACCGGCCCCACCCCGCAGGCTTCCCGGGCGCTCCAGGAGCCGCGCCCCCTGCCCTCCCGGGCGGGACAGCGCTGAGCGCGCCGGGGAGCTCCAGGTGGCGGAGGAGGGAGAGCCTGGTCCCGGCCCCCGTGGAAGGTGCAGCGGACCGCCAGACGTCCCCCGGGCCGCAGGCTCCGCCCCCAGCCGCCCCCCCAGCCCTCCCCAGCTTGAGCTCTGCCAATCGCAGGCTTCCCAGAGCAGCTGGGAGCGGCGAAGGCGGCGGGAGGAGCGCAGCCGGCCGGCCGCTCGGAGCCTTCGGGCCACCGGGGCAGAGCCGCGGGGCTGGGACGGGAGCGGAGCCGAGCGGAGCGGGGGTGTGCGTGCCGGGGGGGGGGGGCGTCGAGGAGGAAAGCGCGTGCGGACGCGAGTGTCGCGGGTGGCAGCTCGAGCCGGGCTCGGGGGCGCAGCCCCTGAGGTTCCCTCCCCGCCGCCCCCCGCCCGCCCCCCGCCCCGCGGGCCCCGGCGCCCGGCGCCCTTCGCCATGGACTTGCGGGGAGTTGGGACGGGTCACGGCCGTCGCCCGCGGTCGGCCGCCCGGCCCGGGGGGTCTGCGGGTGCGCGCTCGGCGATGGTGAGGTAGGATGGCGGCCCCGCGCGAGCCCCGCCGGCCGAGCGCCGCGGCCCCCGGGCGGAGCCGCTGACGGAGCAGAGCGCACAGGGGGTGTGGGCGGAGGCCGCCCGGCCGCGCCCGCCCGCCCGCCCGCCCGCCCGCCCGCGCCCGGCCTCTCTCGCACCGCACTCACTCGCACCTGCCCTCCCGCGCCGACACCATGTCGAAGGCGGCCGGGGGCGCAGCGGCGGCGGCGGCGGCGGCGGAGAGCGGCCCCTCGGCCCCGGCGGCCGGCCCGTGCGCCCCCGCCGCCGTCGCGGAGGACCTGTCCAAAGTGTCGGACGAGGAGCTGCTGCAGTGGAGCAAGGAGGAGCTGATCCGCAGCCTGCGGCGCGCCGAGGCCGAGAAGGTGAGCGCGATGCTGGACCACAGCAACCTCATCCGGGAGGTGAACCGCCGCCTGCAGCTGCACCTCGGCGAGATCCGGGGGCTCAAGGTGAGCGGCGCGGGGCACGGCGGGGTGGGGGGAGTGGACCGGCAAACTTTCCCCCTCTCCCGCCACAGGTGATGTCTGCCCCCTTCCCCCAGGGCGCGCCCCCTCGCCCCCCTCTCCAGCCCTTCACAAAGTTTTCCAAACTTTGCCGGCTTTTTGCTCCCCCCCCCCTCCCACGGGGTGTGCTTCCTCGTGTGGTCCTCTGAGATTGGGGGGGGGGTCGGAGCCAAGGACGCTGAAGTCTGGGAGGGGGGATGACGGGCGCACACACGGACCCCCCCCCCCCCCCCCAACCAGAATGTGGATGATTTGAGGAGCTGGGTTACAGCCAAGCAGGGGGAAAGAGCCTAGGGGGAGCGAATTAGGGCATCTTCGCCTTTGGGGGGTGGGAGATGTAGCTGCCCGGGAGCCACCAGTTCTCAGAGAGCAGAGGGCAAAGAAAGGGCACCACTGCCGGGGAGGAGAGGACGTGGCCAGGCGCCACCCAGGATGCTCAGGACGGCCACTGCGCAAGGGAGCCCAGGCTCTGCCTCCGATCTGCCCAGGGACCCCGTGATGTGCGCCCCCCGACCCCCCCGCTTGATGAACACCATCACCTTACAACCCTCTGCCATTCATGGCCAGCTTGACTTCAATCTTATCCGGCCTGGAGCGAGGTGGGGCGGGGCTCGGAGTCGAAGGCTCACGACGTGGACCAGGTGTGACAAGTGTAGGCTACTGGCGCCCTCTTTTTGAACCTCTGCTGTCAGTACCAAGGGGCTGGACCCCAAGCCCCACCACTAACTTTCTGTTCCCCTTGGAGAGCTGGGAAGGGGCCAGCAGTGTGCCCGGCGGGCCGCAGCGGTCGACCAGTGGCCGGGAACCGCCCTGCCGCCGGCACGCACTGCGACCAAACCAACTTCCTTTGCTCACAGCTCGCCTGCTGCCTCCCGGTATTCCTTCCTCTCATTGTTCTGCTTTTGTTTATAGGAAGCCGCACACAAAACGAAAGCGGCGCAGGGACCTCCGGGAGCAAATTCCCGCAGGCACACGCTGTTCTTCTTGTGCCTTTGCACGCCCACCCCGCTTCTCAGGCAGCAGAGGCTGCTGAGGTCATGGTCTCCCAGCTCCAGCTCCAAGATTCTGGGCAAAGGAGGAGCGGGGAGAGGCTGGATGCCCAGGGGTCACTGTGTGCTACCCCAATCGAGGTGGGAGAGGGCTCTCTCCTGAGGCCCAAACTCAGTCATGTATGTGTTCCAGAGTAGATGCAGTGGAGACAGTTCCTACAGTCAGGCAGATCCCAAGGCTTGTGCTTTCCTGTCTTTTAATTCTTTACTAATGGAATACTTATTAGCTACGGGGCTCTTTGGGGACCAGGACAGGCTAACCAATGGGAAAAGAATCTCAGAGGTGGAGTTGAATCCTGAATACCAGCAAGGGGGAGTTTGGGTAATTTCTCAGATCTTCATTTTGTTCATGGGTAAAATGCAAATGAGAGTATTTGGGTGTTGTGATAATTAGTTATAACTGTGTAACAGGGGAAGGTTTAATACTGGACTTGACTGCAAAATATGGTGGTTTTCATCAGGGCAGACCATAAATGGATGGCCGGGTATCTCCATGAACTTTTTTTTTTTTAAGGCAAAGCTGGTCAATGTCACTCTGCAGTTTAATCTTCCATGGTTTGAGATGTAATGTGACTTGGATGAATTTTTGATCAATTAATCAATTTCCCAAAGATTTTAATTGCATTGAGACTCGACATACTATTGATTATAGATACTTCTGAAAAGCTCTTTTAGGTTTTGTGCACTGACTGTATGCTGGGCTAGGTATGAGTGGGGGAGGAGAGGTATGGGGAATAGGCTGCCTGGTCTTCACTGTATTAGCTTCATCTAGAAAAGTAATTGTTAGAGTAGTTAAGAGTAATTATCCCCCAAATTGATCTCGAGGTTTGATTTAAAGACCTGCATCACAACATCAGGTTTTAAGAGCGATGGAAGCTGGTTACTTTCTGTCACAGGTTACATCTCTGGGCAGTTAGAGGGAGACTCTAAGGCCTCTTGCCCACCCTAATTGTTCAAGAGTTCTAAGGCTCTGCTTAGCTGCCAGCATTCTTCATTTTCATCTTTTTGGTTCAGAGCTTACTTGAACACCATATGTGGTTGAGTGACTAAATGGTAGGTATATTTACTCGTGTGGCAAAACTGGAAGAAAGGGGTTTTATTTTTTAGTCTCTGAGAATTTGGCATGCTTAGTTGAGGGCTATAAATGTAGGGTCTCTAAGGCCACAACACTTCTTTTGATGCCTTTTTTTGTGACTTTGAAATTTCATTGAAGAAATTTTAAGGTTACTAGATAGAAGTACAGCTGTACAGTCTGGTCGGCTTGGGAAAACTGCTGACTTCTCTGAGCCTTATATTTCTGATCTACTTAATGGTCATCTTAATTCCACATGAGGCCTTTTGAGGGTTAAATGGTGGATAGATGCAGAAATCCCAGTGAGGTTTCATAGTTTCTCAAGGTCACAGAGACACAAACTATTTTAAATAAGGTCCGTTCCTTTCTTTTCTTCCTTCCACTCCTCCCTTTTCTGCCTCTCCTCTCTTTCTCTTCTCCTCTATTTTCTCCTTCTTTACTCTTTCCTTCCCTCCCTTCTCTTCTTTCTGTCCTTTCTTCCACCTCCCTTCTCTCCCTGCTGTCTACTTCCTTTCTTCTTTCTTAGGGCTAATTCAAATTCTTTGCTTAGCATGCGTGAACTCTCAAGAGATGAAGACAGGCAACTTTGGCTAGGGTTCTGACATTTGAAGGAACTGGATTCTGCCAGAGCACTTTGGGCTGCTGAGCATGTATCAATATGCAGGTTATTCTGACCCAGAATGCTGGTTGGAAGCTGATTTGAGGAAGCTGTAGATTTGTGGACTCTCTTGTATTAATTTTCCTATTTGCTTCCTAATAGCCTCATTCTGCAGTGAAGGAAAAGAATACAGTACGTTTTTTTTCTTAACCATAGATATAGCTCTTGGTAGTCTATAGGCATATGATTTGAAATCTTTTGCAATAGTCTATGAGGTGGGCTTAAGCTTTTAAAAATTAATTTAAAGCCAGGTGTCCGTGGCTCACATCTGTAATTCTAACTACTTGGGAGACTGAGATCTGAGAATTGTGGTTCAAAGTCAGCCCTGGAAGGAAAGTCCATGAGAGTCTTATCTATAATTAACAGTCCTAGAGCTGGAAGTAGAGCTGTGGCTCAAGTGGTGGAGCACTAGTCTTGAGCAAAAACCTCAGCTCTGAGCTCAAGCCTCAGGACTGCCCCTTACCCCCCAGCCCCCCCCCCCCCAAAAAAAAAAACCAGTTAATTTTAGATACTTGGATAACATCTGGTGACCTGTGGAAATGTTAAAACAAACATAGAATTCTGAAGAAAAAAGTCTTAAGTTTTAACATGGCAGATTTGAATAAGCTAGCTCACAAGTCAATAATACTCACAAGAAAAGTGACTCACAGGAAGAGGGAGCAATGATGAAAACAAATGGGCCACGTCTACGCGTCCATCTGCTATAGAATTCAGAGAAAGTCCTTTCACTTGCTTTAAGAGGATGGTTTCTCTCAAAGACCATGCTACCACCAGTCATGACTTCCTTTCAGTTTTGGATCAATCAGGAGGAGCTATAGGAGAATTACAAGCAAATATTTTCAGTTGGAAATTCAACCGATGAAGAAGGACATGACTTGAATTTCCTACCAAATTAAACTTAGTGCTGAATACTTTTTGAAGCTTAGAAAGATTAATATTTAGTGTATTTTTGAATACCCACAGCTTCTCATTTTCTCTAAAGCATCACTATTGAGTGATCATGTGCCCTCTTGCTGCTATAGAGCAGGGCTTGCTGAAAACAATAGTAAAAATATTTCTCAATAGCTGTAGCTGTAGTCTATTTGGGCCACAGGTCTAGGGCTTTGGAGAGTTGATCAGCCCATAAACATATACTCCAGCTGGTGCTGATGGCCCACACCTGTATTCCTAGCTACTCAGGAGACTGAGATCTGAGGATTGCAGTCCAAAGCCAGCCTGAGCAGGAAAAACTGTGAGATTTTTATTTCTAATTAATCACAAAAAAGCTGGAAGTGGAGCTATGGCTCAAAGTGGTAGAGTTCTAGCCTTGAGCAAAAAAGCTCAGGGATAGCACCCAGGCACTGAGTTCAAGCCCCAGGATCACCACTACTACCACCACCAACAAAAAAACCCCATATATTGAATGTTCACTGTATACAAACTACCATGATAGTGTATTGCATGTGCAAAGAAAGGCATCAGACATCTTTCTTCCAGAAGGTTGAGAACTACATGAGAAAGGAGAAAAGTTTATGCTCAATGAAAGCTCAGGCCATAAGTGGCAAGTGAGTAGTGTTCTAGTGGTAGGGGAAACCTCTCAGAGGAATCCCTCCTGTAGGTTCATATTGGTGAGAATGTGATATTGCCTGGCTATAATACATAAACATAACTCGGTGTCATGATTTTTCAACAGAGGGAGCTAAAGGTAGACAGTCAGGAGAAAGTTTTTTAGGCCTGGCTAATGGGTTTATTTGTTTTCTTTTGCAAAGAGGAAGGAGGCATTGGGGGTAGCTGAGCAGGAGAAGCAAAGTACAAAGGAAGTATTTTGGAAATGAGCCTGGTTTAGGAGTGGATTAGAGTCTGTGAGGGAACACAGAGGATGGGCAGAAGCAGGACGCCAGGTGTGTGTGTATGTGGCTGTTGGTCAGACTCAGACCTGAGGCAGAAAAGTGTCCATGAGAAACAAAAGGAAGTAAAAAACAAGCAACAACAACAAAAGTCAAACAAACGAGAGTTTCTGGGAAAGCCAATAGTTAGAATTGGAGGTGGAAAATAAGCTGCATGGGTTTTTGTCTTCTGGCCTGGAAATTCCCTTCCACTTTAGGTCTTAATGACTGTCAAGAAGTGAAGGATGTTTTAAAGTTTTGTTTTTTCATCAGTATCAGAGAAAGTGTTGGAGCTCACCTGAATTTGAAAAGGAAGCACGTTTCCTCTGTGAGTATCTTTAGTTTGGGACTGGATGGCAGTCGCAGGAGCAGAAGTCTTTGTAGGACGCTGTGGCTGTCCTTTTTCCTCCCTCCCAAACCACTGTGTTTCCTTCACTATTTGTGTGAACAGAGAAGAAAGGGGAAGTTCATAACACACTTACAAATTATCTTTAAGTAGTTGTATGGAGGCGTTGCCATTCACCAAAGCTGTTTAAGAATACAATGCATCTTGCTCAGTGTTACCCCTTTCATCATTTTCTCCCATTCCTGTCAACTCTACCTCTTCCCTCAATTTTTTTCTTTTGTTGGTCATGGGGCTTGAACTCTGGGCCTGGGCACTGTCCCTCAGCTCTTCACCTCAGGGCTAGTGTCTACCTCTTGAGCCACAGTGCCACTTCAAGTGGCACTAGTGGTTAATTGGAGATAAGAGTCTCGCAGAGTTTCCTGCCCGGGCTGGCTTTGATCCACTATCCTCAGATCTCAGACCCTTGAGTAGCTAGGATTACCAGTGTGAGCCACAGGTGCCCAGCTCTCAATTTTCTTAATTTTGTAGAATAGCACGGAATTATATGACTGCATTTGCTTCTGCTTCTTCTCTTCCTGTACCCATCCCACTCTTCTTGATTTCCTCTGTCCCCTTTTGGGAACCAGTTTCCTGTTATTTAACACACTTTTGCATTCCTTAGTTTCTGGTTTCTGTGGTAGAAGTTCTGGACACAGAGATGGATAGAATAGATGAGATCTATTTCATGACTTCAGTGGGGATGGAGAGCTGTAGTAACAGGCGCACTCATGCACAGGTGGCTACACTGCGGTCAGCACAACAGAGGGGAAGTCTAAGGGGAATTAGGTAGAAGTGGACTTCTTCACAATGGCTTCTTTGGTTAGTAAGCACTAACCAGAAAGCATTAATAGTCATATAGAAGTCTAGGAAAACATTGGAGTGAAAGAGGAGAAGGGCTTACCCTTTGAGGACCTAAAACCAAGTTCAGGAGAAGTGGCCCTCAATGCTTGATGCCCATCTTCACTCCTGCCCAACAGGCTCATTGTTGATATCCATTGTTTCAGATTTCTTCACTCACATGTTTGCTCTTTCATTTAATCAAAGTCACTGCTCAGATGTTTCTTTTCTATGCAGGGTTGCCTTCTCTTTAAAAAAAGGTATTTTTTAACCTGCTTTATTCCCCCCCTCCCCCCAGCAAATTTCATTATGCGACATAATATTTTAAACTTGTTTTTGACGTCCTTTTCCACCAGAATGAAAGCTGTTGGATGTCAAGTCTTTGTCATGTCCATTGATATATCTCTGCTGTTGGACTGGTACCTGACATATAATTGATGCTTACTAATGAATGAACAGCAGGAGAAGTACACTGAATGGGAGCATTTGGCTCTTATGAGAATGGGGGGATTTTGCTCTATGTTCTAAGGGCAACAAGAAGCTATTAAAGAATTTTTAGCATGTGAGTGGCAAGATGAACTGAACTTTGGAGGATGAGTCCCGAAAACCTGTTGGGCTCTGAAGTGGAAAATGAAGGAGGAGGATGTCAGGGGCAACCTCATATTGTCACCACGAGCAGAGGGGTGGATGGAAGTAGCTTTTGCTGAGAGATGTGACTTGGAGAGCTGGGTTAGGATATCAAGAGCTCATTGTGGCTAATGTTAATCTGCCAGGCATCTCAGATGTCCAGGTGAGTGTGGCAAGTAGGGGTCAGATGTGTAGGACTGAAATGCCACTAGAGGACAATTGTGCATCTCCCTAGTGGGGTCACTGTTATTGCTCATCCCCTGTCATTGGAGACCTGAGCAAGGCTTCATTTGCCCAGTGGAAAGAAGTGCTGTCTCAGAGCCCTTAAACATGTTATAGATCAAAATCTTCCATTTTTTTTTCTTAAGGGTAGGGCAGATGAGCCTTGTTTTCCTCCAGACTGATTGCTTGTTGATCAATGAACTGGCTAGCTCTCTAAATATTGATGGGGTCATCTTGGACAAGTGAAGCTTTGTGAGATCCAGTTTCCTTTTTTTATAAAAGAACCATAATCACTATTCCCTGTTTTTGGTGTTATTAGACAAAATAATACAAATATACAGGGGAAATAGCTGATAGCTATTACTTAAACATTAGTAGCTAGTTACCATCTTTCTGCTATTCCCATTCCACTTCTTCCCTTAATATTCCAGAGACATCACCATTTCTAGGCTGTCCTGATCCCAGGAACTCCGAACTCGCAATACCTTCCATGTGGTACTTTCCTCGGACAGTTCTCTCTCTCTTTTCAGGATATTAACCAGAAACTCCAGGAGGATAACCAGGAGTTGAGGGACCTCTGCTGTTTCCTGGATGATGACCGGCAGAAAGGCAAGAGGGTGTCCCGGGAGTGGCAAAGACTGGGCCGCTACACAGCTGGGGTGATGCACAAGGAAGTAGCTTTATATCTGCAGAAGCTGAAGGAGCTGGAGGTGAAGCAGGAGGAAGTGGTGAAGGAGAACATGGAGCTCAAGGAGCTTTGCGTGCTGCTGGATGAGGAGAAAGGGGCCGGCTGTGCAGGCAGCCGCTGCTCCATCGACAGCCAGGCCAGCTTGTGCCAGCTGACAACCTCCACTGCACCGTATGTGCGGGATGTGGGTGACGGCAGTAGCACTTCCAGTGCGGGCAGTACCGACAGCCCTGACCACCACAAGCATCATGCAAGTGGTGGCAGTCCTGAGCACCTGCAGAAGCCCCGGGCCGAGGGGAGTCCTGAGCACTCCAAACACAGGAGCACCAGCCCTGAACATCTGCAAAAACCCAGGGCCTCTGGCACCCCAGATCACCCCAAAGCACTCAAAGGACCTAGCCCTGAGCATCATAAGCCCTTATGCAAGGGCAGCCCTGAACAACAGAGGCACCCACACCCAGGGAGCAGCCCTGAAATGCTGCCCAAGCATATGCTCAGTGGAAGCCCAGAACATTTCCAGAAGCACAGGCCGGGGGGCAGCCCGGAACATGCCAGGCACAGTGGAGGGAGCCCTGAGCACCTTCAGAAACACGCGCTTAGTGGGAGCCTGGAGCACCTGCCCCGACCCAGGGGCACCAGCCCTGAGCATCTCAAACAGCATTATGGTGGAAGCCCTGATCACAAACATGGAGGAGGAGGAGGAGGAGGAAGCGGAGGAGGAGGTGGAGGCAGCGGTGGAGGCAGCAGGGAGGGCACCCTCAGACGGCAGGCGCAAGAGGACCTATCCCCCCATCATCGGAATGTCTACAGTGGCATGAACGGTGGGTCAGTATGTGCTAGGGAGCTGCTTTGGGACAACACAGTAGAGTTAGGTCTGATGAAACACTTCCCCATGAGAGCAGGAAGTGCAGGGGTGAGGGGTGGGCTGAGAGGAAGGAGGGGACATTTGTCCTGAGAATGAGTTGTGTGTTTCTTTTGCTCAATTTGGATTTGTTGTTTTGTTCAGCAGTTAGACATGTAAACCTGGAGCAGGACCAATAATTTTAAGGACCCCGAGTTGCCAGGATGAAGTCTGTTTTGTGCTGGATAAAAATAATAGCCTTTGATCTTGACCTTGAGCATTTTCCTCCTTCTATGAGGATTTCTTGTGAAAAGGTATCCAAATGCTGTTTGAATCTAATCACTAGCTCACATCCAGGAAGAAATGAATATATTTACTATGAGAAACACATTCAACAAAGAAATACCTTGTGCCTAAACAGGCTTGAGGTTGGTTTGCTTGATGGCCTGTAAATGCACCTGTTTCTTGAGAATTTTCTCCCTTGTGCTGGACCCAGTAGCACAAGTGGGTGACTTTTGTGAACAATTTACTTCCCTACTTACTCAAAGCTCATCAACACTGCCTTTTGGAATAGGGTGATCTTGTGCCTCTCAAGAGACACTTCTCTGGGTCCCATCAGGTCACTTTATGGTAATATACAGATGTGTGTGAAGCCTCCCTCGGTTTTCAAAGCATGATATCCCTGCATTTGCTGAGCTGGCACAAAATCTGAGCTTTTATAAAAACCTTTTGGAAGAGCTTAATTTTCTGCCTCTTGGTTCTGAAACCACTTGGAACGAAAGAGAAAAAAATCATTTCCTCAACAAAACAAAACAAAAGAGTGACCCCAGACTACAGTTCTTTTATGTTCCCCTGTGGTTGAGTTGGAATGCAAATGATTAGTTTTAGCAGCTGTGGCATTTTTTCATGCACATTGTCTAAGGGTTTTCCCCTCTGCTTGAAGGCTGCTCTAGCATCTTGGTGAAGTCAGCTCTGAGCTGTGATGGAGGAGGCTGCCAATTTTAGCAGTGACACAAAGGGTAAATTTTCAATATTGTACTTGGGGATTTACCTGTTGGATTCCATTTCATCCTAATCCTTTTCTCATAGTGCTGAAAATTGACTCTGGAAGCTTTGCTTCTAAGGCTTCCAATGTTCTTTTTAAGCACAAATGGAAGTTGGGGAAACCGCTGCTTTTCCCTTTTTCCTGTTGGGAAGTGGTAAGGAGAAGCCAGTTCACCTGATAGGTGGGAACTCCTTGCTGGTACCTTTACTGGGTTCACTGAACCCACATCTCTGGTTCCAAAAGATCAGTAGAGGTTTCCTGATTACTATGGCCTTGGATATCTCATTCTCCAAAATAGATGGAAAGTCATTACCAAAGGTATTTTGGTTGTGTTACTATTATGAAATAGGTCATTGGTCATGATGCTTGTCCCCAGGGGTGGCTTAGCAGGCGAATGGGAAGGTAAAGCTAATAACTTTTCCATTTCTTGATTACTTTTTAATGAGCTTGAGAAGTAACTATGTGTACTATTTTAAGGAAACTTGGTTTCTTAAACTGAACGAAAAAAGGAAATACTTAGGGGCAGGTGGCTCACTTACCAAACAATTATTCCCTTTAAATAAAGAACTCCAGTTTATTTGAAATTTTATTTGAAAAGTCAAACTATTTTATCTTATTTTGGAAGTATTGGAGTTTGAACACAGGGCCTCAATTTGCTAAGCAAGAATGATATGTCTGAACCAACTGCCCTGCTTTTCACTGATGGTAATTTTTTTTGAGGGGGGGCAGTCGTGGGGCCTGAACTCTGGGCATGGGTGCTGTCCCTCAGCATTTCAGCTCAAGGCTAGTGCTCTACCACTTGAGCTACAGCACCACTTCTGGCCTTTTCTGCTTATGTGGTGCTGAGGAATCAAACCCAGGGCCTCATGCATACGAAGCAAATACTCTAGCACTGAGCCACCTTCCCAGCCCCAGCTACTGTACAGAGAGGTTATAATTACATGGGAAAAATAATGAGTATATTTCTTATCAAGCATTGTAGCCTCCTCCTTTGTTTCCCCTTCCCATCCCATCCTCCCCCAAACCACTCCCTCCACCCAACCATCCTTGCCCCCCCCCACCAAAGTTGTAAAGTTCGTTTTCAACATAACGACTTGTTCGTCTCATTGTTGCAGTGGGTCCACCTGTATCCCTATTTAAATGATTTGTTTTTTTCCCTTCCCCTCCACAAATTATAACAACATCAAATACAGTGAAAGCAGAGGTTATACCATGGGGGAGGGACATACAAAGCAACAAAGAAATAATCTTATAAATGTGTTAGAAACAATCACATGAAAGAAAAAAACATTTGAATACATATCTTAGGGTTCATTTCTCTAACATCAACTTAACTGACCTTTTCTGATTAACTCAGACATATACTAGTTATTGCAAATAAGGGAAACCATGGGACCTATGTTTCTTTGGGCCTGGCTTACTTCACTTAATATAATTTTTTCCAAGTCTTTTCATTTCCTAACAAATGGGGCAATGTCATTCTTTCTGATGGAGGCATAGAATTCCATTGTGTATATATACTACATTTTCTTGATACATTCATCTATTGAGGGGCATCTGGGTTGGTTCCATATCTTAGCTATGGTAAATACAGCTGCAATAAACATAGTCGTGCTGGTAGCTTTAGTGTGGTCTTGTTTGTGAACATTTGGGTAAATGCCCAAAAGTGTGATTGCTGGGTCAGAGGGGAGCTCTATGTGGAGTCTTTTGGTTGCTGGTATTTTTTAAGACAGAGTCTCTTTTTCTGCCTGGGCATGTGTCTGGACTGTGATCTGCCTATTTAGGCTTCTCATAGTTGCCTGGGATGACAGAAACACATTGCTATAACCAGCTTTCTTCTGATCAGATGGAGTTCTTGGACTTTTTTGCCTGGCTAGCCTAGAACCATGCCCTTCCAATCTCAGCCTTACAAAGAGCTAAGATTAAAAGCATGAGGTACCTGAACTTGTCTTATTGCTATTATTTTAGTGATGAGTTATTTTGTGTAGATTTATTGGATAAAATGTGATGTTTTGATCTGTATGTGCAACGTGGCATGATTAAATCAAGATAATCTATCCATCATCTTACTTTCCTAGCATTTTTATGATGAATCATTTGAAATTTACCTTCTTAATTATTTTTGGGTGCATATTACATTCATCAACTACAGCCACCCTGTTGTACAACAGAACTGAAAGCGTATTCTTTCTACCTATAACTCTGTTTCCCATTGATTAACAATTCCCCATTTTTTCCCTTCCCACTGTCCTAAAGCTAGTAATCCTCAACTCCATGACATTCCACATAGAAGTGAGATGATGTGACATTTTTATTTCTGAGTCTGGCTTTTTTCACTTAACAGTTTTATCATGTTGTTGCACATAATAGGATTTCCTTCTTTTTTATGACTGAATACTATTTCATTATATATATAAAACACATTTTCTTCATCAATCTATTGATAAACACTTAGGCTGATTCCATATCTTGGCTAGTGTCATTACTACTACAGTAACTATGTCAGTGAAGATAACTCCTGTACATATTGATTTCAGTTCCTTAGCATATATTTTCAGAAGTAGAATTAGTTGGTCATATTATAATTCTATTTTTAGTTTCTTTTCTTTTTTTGAGAAAATACTGTTCTGCTTTCCACAATAGCTATCTTATAGCTTTTATTTTGCAATTAACAGTGTATCCCTTTCTCCCTATATTTTTCCAACATTTCTTTTTGCCAAGAGAGCAGTGTGTGTGTGTGTGTGTGTGTGTGTGTGTGTGTGTGTGTGTGTGTGTGTGTGTGTGTGTGTGTGTGTGTGTGTGTGTGTGTGTGTATCTCAAAAAGTAGCTAGGTTGGCCTCAAACTCCTGATTTAGTTGAGTGTTGGAATTACAAGCATGAGCTTATCTTTCTTTTTTTTTTTTTTTTAAATAAAAGCCATTTCAACAGGTATAACTCATTAAAGTTTTAGTTTACATTTTTCTAATGATTAATGATGCTGAGAATATTTTCATGCCTATTGAGAAAGACCTCTTCATGTCCTTTGCTCATTTTTAAATTGGAACATTAGTTTTCTTAGTATTGAATTGAGTCCCTTATATACTATGGATAATAAACCTCTATCAAATGTATGGGTGGGTTGCAAATGTAACCTTGTGTTCTGTGTTAGGTATTTCCTTGCTGTAGAGGCTGTTTTAGCTTGATGTAGTCCCATTTTTCTCTTTTTGCTTTTGGTTGCCTGTGATTTGAGGGTGATATCCAAAATGTTATTGCTTAAGCTAGTGCCGTGGAACTTAACTTCTATGGTTTGTTTCTTCTAGAAATTTTAGAATTTCAGGCCTTATATTTAACTCTTTAATCCATTTTGGTGATTTGATGGATTTTTGTGTTTGGGATATGGTGTTTGCAGTTTCCTTTTTCTGTTTGTTTGCATTGAGATTTGCATTCATAGCCTCTTGTTTGCTAGGCAGGCCCTATATTACTTGAGTCACTCCTGCATCTCTTTTAGCTTTGGTTGTTTTTGAGATAGATAAGATCTTGTCTTTTTGTCTAAGGAGTTTTGGATTGTGATTCTCCTACTTAAGCTTTTGGCAGCTGTGATTACAAATATGTGTCACCACACCTAACTTTATATTGAGTGTGTGTGTGTTTTATATATATGTGTGTGTGTGTGTGTGTGTGTGTGTGTGTAGTTTTATATATAGTTATATATAGTATATAGCTATATGTATTCATGTTATAGTTATATATCCACACACTCTATAACTCTATAACTACATAACTCTCTCTCTCTCTCTCTCTCTCTCTCTCTCTCTCTCTCTCTATTTATATATATATATGGGCGTAAGGATTTATTTTTGTCATTTCTGTGAAAAATGGCATTGGGATTTTGACAAAGATTGCATTGATTACTTTGGGGAGTTATGGACATTTTCAAATTATTAATTCTACCTACC